GCGCTTCCCCGAGCGGCCCGCGCCCGACGCAGTCGCCCCGCGCCCCGTCGCCGTAAAAGGCCTCGCCCCGCGCGTTCCTCTGCCTGACGAAGCGCTAAGCATGGGGCTCGAGGCGCGCGCGGAACAGAGGCCCGTCCGCGAGCGCCGCGGGGAGCGCCGCGGCGGCGCCGGCCGGCGGGCGCGGGTCGTAGTCGACGAGGTGCGCGAGGGGCCGCGCGCGCGTGCCCCCGACGTCGTCGTCGACCCAGCACACGACGGCGGCCGCCTCGAGGCCGACGCCGCAGCGCGCGAGCGCGTCGACGGCGTCGCAGAGCGCGGCGAGGTGCCGGAGCGCGTCGGCCTGGGCGAGCGCGCCGCTCGACGTCTGCGTCGCCGCGACGACGACGCCGCGCGCGACGTCGACGCCGTAGCGCCGCGCGCGCGCCGGCCGCGCGAGCGCGGGCCAGGACCGGCCGACGAGGTGCGCCCAGCCGCAGCCCAGCGGCGGCGGCGGGTCGTCGCCGTCGTAGGCGTCGTGGTCCGGGCCGAGGGGCTCGAGCCGCGCGCCGCGCGCCGCGAGGAGCGTCGCGCTCGCGCCCAGCGGCGGCGCCGCGAAGTCGAAGGCCGCGGCCGCGCGGGGCAGCTGCGCGACGAACGCGCCCGCGGCGCAGCACGCGAGCAGCGCCGTCGACCGCTCGCCGCGCGTCTCCGCCGCGGCGAGGAGCTCCGCGACGAGCTCGCGGAGGTAGGCCGCCGCCGGCGACGCCGCCTCGAGGCCCGGCGCCGCGGGCGCCGCCGGTGGCGGCGGCGGCGGCGGCGGCGGGAGAGCCGCCGGCTCCGTGGAGCCGTCGCCGAAGAAGCGCGCGAAGCGCTCCGCCTCCGTCTCGTCCTTAGGCTCGGCGGCCATCGTCTGCGCGCGTCGGTCTTTGCCTTGACGCGTCTCTAGAGGCCCGGGAGGAACCGCGAGGGACGGGAGGCTCAGAGGGGTCTCACAGGCGCCGGAGGCGCGCCAGTGGACGGAGGCGTCCTGGCGCAGGCGCCAGTCCGCTCGCAGTCGGTCTTTGCCACAGCGTCTTGCAGTCGCGCGACATGTACACGTCTAGGTGCTCTCGGCGCGCGCCCGCGCTCGCGCTGCTCCTGCTCGCGGCCGCCGCCGGCGACGAGGCGCTGCGCGAGTCGCACGCCTTCGCGTCGCTCGCGGCGGCGGCCCTCGGCGACGACGTCGGCGTCGCCCTGGGCCGCGACGCGGCGACGGGCCTGCGGGGCCTCTTCGCGGCGCGGGCCGCGGCGCCCGGCGACCTGCTCCTGCGCGTGCCCCTCGCGCGCTGCCTCGTCGAGACGCGCGCGCTGCCCGCGAGCCTGCGGCGCGCGCCGGCGTCGATGACGTGGGACGTGCGGTTGGCGTTGCAGCTGCACGACGGCTCGGAGCACGACGGCTTCTGGGCCGCGTACGGCGGCCTGCTCCCCCGCGGCGACGACCTCGCGCAGCCCCTCGTCCTGGGACCGCGGGACCTCGACCGCCTCGGCGACGCGCCGGCGGCGGCCGCCGCGCGCGAGCAGCGGCGGCGCCTCCGGGAGCTCTTCCCGGACCTGCCGCCGGACGTGCTCCCGGCCGACGACGGCGACGCCGCCTTCCCCGGCACGCTCCTCGTCGCCTGGGCAAACGTCCGCAGCCGCGCCTTCGCCGCGGGGACGGCCGCCGTGGCCTACGAGGGCGAGGCGGGCACCGAGGAGTCGGACCGCTTCGCGTTCGTGCCCTTCCTCGACATGGGCAACCACGAGGCGTCCCGCCCGACGGCGGCCTTCGCCGTCGTCGGCGACGCCTTCGAGCTCCGGGCCCTCGCGCCGCTGGCCGCGGGCGACGGCGTCACCTACAGCTACGCGGAGCCCCGCGACGTCCGGGCCCACTTCGCGCTCTACGGCTACGTCCCGGGGAGCGCCTGCGCGACGCGGAGCTGCCACGTCGCCGCCTACCGGGCCCTCGCGCGCGCCCGGGAGCTCTAAGCGCTCGCGGCCGACGTTGAATTCATTTGTCGTTGAATGCATGGAACTGCACTTGAAAAGCAGACGGTCTGGGGCAGCGAACGATGGACATCGGCTCCTAGCCGCACCTCCCCGGATTAATACGGGCCCCCGGGTCAAGATTACTTGTATGTACAACGCCCCCCCCCAGCGCGCGCTCAGGGCAGCACCCACTTCTTCGCCGCGTAGAAGAGCGCGCCGTGGCGGAGCGCGTAGAGCGCGGCGAGGGGGAGCGCGCCGCCGTGCGACGCGTCGAGGAGCGTGGCGACGTAGTCGGCGCCGTCGAGCGCGAGGAGGCCCAGGAGCAGCGGGCCGAGGACGGCGGCCGCGGGCGGCTCCGCGGGCGCGGCGACCGCGAAGCACCGGCGCCACGACGGCTCGCGGCGCCGCCAGCCCGCGGCCCGGAGCTTCGCGTCGAGGTCGCGCATGTGGGCGACGCCGTAGAGCACCGTCGCGTCGCCCTCGAGCGCGTCGACGGCGGACAGGACGACGTCGTTGCGCTCGCCGACGACGACGGCGCCCCGGGGCCCCGCGCGCCGCGTCGCCGGGTCGCCGGCGCCGGCGACGAGCGACCGCAGCAGCGACAGGCGCGCGAGGGCGCCGCCGTCGGCGGCGCGCGCCGCGGCCGCGGCCGCGGCCGCCGCGAGGCCGCCGTCGACGGCCGGCGGCCGACCGGCGTAGTCGAGCGCGGCCCAGGCGAGCTCCGGCGCCGGCGCGAAGGCGCACAACAGCCGCGCGAGGGCGGCGCCGACGCGCTCCTCGACGCGCGCGCCGCCGCCGCCGCCCGCGAGCGCGACGACGTCGGCCGCGGCGCCGACCTCGGCGGCCGCGGACCGGTCCGCCAGCGCCTGCGCCGTGAGGTCCGCGACGCGCCACGCCGGCGACGCCGCGTAGGCCTCGCCGAGGGCGTCGGACTGGGCCGCGAGGCCGCAGCCCGCCGCCGCGCGCCGCGCCGCGGGCGTCGCCGCGAGCGGCGCCGCGAGCCGTCCGTCGCCGTCGACGAGCGCCTCGTCGACGACGGACTCGAAGAGCACGGCGCCGTCCGTCGCCGCGAGGGCCGCCCAGTAGGCGGGCTCCGCGACGTGCACGACGCCCACGAGCGCCACGGACCGGCCGCCGCGGCCGTAGGTCCGCGCCGCCGTCTCGACGACGGCCTCGTCGCCGTCGCGCCGCACGCGGAGCCACTCGGGGCTCGTCGGCACGGCGAGCGCCGGCGTCCGCCGCGTCGGCACGGCGACGCTCGCGACGGCGGGGAGCAGCGCCGCGAGCACCGCCCGGCGGTGGCGCCGCGCGGTTGGCCAGCTCGTGGCCATATCGAGCTGGGGGCAGAATCGAGGTTCAAACAAACGAACTGAAGCCGACATTGGCGTACGGACACGCATTCCTCGTTCTCGTCCGCGCCGTCCCGGAGGTCGTTTTTTACCGAAAAATATTAAACGGCGATTCCTCACACCGCGCTTCAACAGGGACTGCCCGAGGGCGAGCGAGAGAGAGCCGCGTTACAGCTTGGGGAAGGACACAGGGGGGGGGGGGGGAGTTCGGAAGGTCGTGGCAACGTTCAGGGCCACTTGCAGTGGGTCCCCTTCTTGGCGACGTCGTCGCTCGACGGGTGGATCCAGAGCGTCTCGACGACGTAGTGGGCGATCTCCTGGTGGTAGACCGCGCAGCGGAGGAGGCCGCCCTTGCCGTCGCGCTGGACGACGCGCGCGCGGAGCCACTGGGAGCCCGGCTGCGCGAAGGAGCTCTGCTTGATGTCGAAGTCGCCGGCCGCGGGGTCCGCGGCGGCGGCGTCCGCGTCGCCGAGGCCCGCGCGCCAGGCGCCGACGCGGGACGTCGCCGGCGCGACGTCGTCGGACCCGCGGTCCACCCAGGCGTCCCTGGACGGGCCGTGCGCGCGGTAGCGGACCCGGAGCCGGTCGCCGTCGACGGCGACGACGCGCGCGTCGAGCCAGGCCGCCGCGCCGCCGAGGCGCGCGTCGACGTCGTCGCCCACGCCGAGGGCGCCGCGCCAGGCGCCGGCGCCGCCGAAGGGCCGCGCCGCGCGGCCCGCGCGCGGGTCCGCGAGCGGGTCCGAGAGCGCGCCGCGCGCGGGGGGCACGCGGTCCAGGGCCTTGGCCGCGAAGCCGAGCTTGGGCAGCTCGTCGACGCCCAGCGCGTCGAGCGGCACCCACGTCGTCGCGGAGCCCGCGTACTTGAGCTGCACGCAGTTGTCCTGCGCGTCGAGCTTCGTCACCGTCGCGCCCCGCGGGTTGCGGCGGCGGTGGTGGCCCTCGCCCTCGTGGTCCGGGTAGAACGCGACCTTGGCGCCGACCTTGAGCAGCGCCGCGGCCGCGCCGCCCTCCGCGAGGCTCGCCGACGAGTCGAAGACCGCGGGCTCGAGGCGGAGCGCGCGGAGGTCGTCGCTCCCGCCGACGTAGCGCGACGCGTCGGCCGCGGCCGCCGCGAGCGTCGAGCCGAACTCGTCGTCGTCGCCGAGCGCGCGCCGCCGGTCCGCCTCGTCGGCGAGCACGCGCCAGACGTGGCACGCGCGGAGCACGCCCACGGCCGCGCCGGACCAGAGCGACTGGCCGGACACGGCGTCCGCAAAGTAGAACTCGCCGGGCTGCTTGCGGCTCTCCGTCGCCTTCCAGGACGCGTCGAGCGACTCCCAGGCGCGGCCGCAGAGCTGGCGGAGGAAGACCTCGAGGCACGCGGAGTACGCGCGCGACACGGGCCCGTCGTCGAGGGAGTCGTCCTCGTGGACCTCGTAGGAGTAGTCCTCGCAGAGCCCGTCGTAGGTCTCGACGCCCAGGCGCTCGAGCGCGGCGGACGTGAAGAGCGGGCGCGGGCGGCTCGGCGTCTTCGTCGTGTAGTAGACGACCTTGAGCCACGCGCGCGAGTCGTCGAGGCTGAACTCCTTGCCGCAGCGGTGCCCCCCCGAGCCCTCGAGGTGCCAGCTCAGCCGCAGGGCGCCCGGCTCCGTGCCCCGCGAGCAGACGTCGGCCGCGGCGAGGACGACGTGCTGCTCCGCCGCGAAGCCGAAGCTCAGGCCCTCCCGGAGGTACCAGTAGGCGCCGTTCGACGACCGCGCGGGCTCCTCCTCGGCGCCGAGCTCGTCGGACCAGTCGACGTCGATGTCCGGGGGCCGCGCGAGCGGGTTCGCGGGGCCGACGACGACGTCGCGCTCGCCGATCGCCGCGAGCGCGAGCGACTGCGCGCCGGCCTTGACGGCCCCGACGAGCACGTAGGTCGCGTCCTCCGGGATGGACCGCAGGTCGTCGGCGTGCGTCGGCCGCGCGTAGGGCGCGCAGTAGTGGCGCGTCCAGCCGCCCGCGTCGTCGTCGAGGAACGCGAGCGGCACGTTGCGCTGGACGCCCGAGAAGATGGCCTCGCCCTTGGTGTAGGCGAACTTGGCCTTCTTCGGGCCGTCGCCCGCGCCCGCGCGCGCCGCCGCGTTCGAGAGCAGCGTCGCGTCCTCGGGCGCGACGACGACCTCGCCCCAGTCCACGACGTCGACGCGCAGGCTGCCGTCGCCGTCGACGTCCGTGACGCGGCCGTACGCCTTCGACGCGTTGCTGCCGCCCCAGGCGGTCTCCTTGATCATGACGCTCGCGCCGATGCGGATCTTCTTCTTCTCCGCCGCGGCCTGGGCCGCCTCCGCGGCGGAGGCCTCGTCCGCGGGCGACCACTCGACGTGCACCGCGAGCCGGCGCGTCGCGGCGTCGTCGGCGGCGTCGTCGGCGGCGTCGTCGGCGGCGTCGTCGGCGAGGACCGGCGCGCCCGCCGCGCGGCCGCCGCGCGGGAACGTCGCGCCGAAGACCTTGGCCCCGAGCCTCAGGCGCTGCTTCTCGTCGCCCTTCTGCTCCCACTTGACGCCGTCGCCGGCGTCGTGCGTCGCCGGCAGCAGCGCGGGCGCGCCGGCGTCGTCCGCGCCGAGGACCAGGTCCGGGTAGGCCTGGCAGGCGACGGCGCCGAGGCCCGTCAGGCGCCACTTCGCGTGGGACGGCGGGGACGCCAGGGCCGCGGCCGTCGCGGGCGCCCATCGCAGCTTCGGCGACGCGACGTCCGGCGGCCGCGGCGCCGGCGCGGCGTCGTCCGCGTCCGAGGCCTTGCGCTTCTTCGAGGCGTCCGCGGCGTCGCCCTTGACGCGCCGCGCGAGGGCCGACGCCGTCTCCGCGGTGAGCAGGTAGAGGATCGTCGACTTGCCGTCGCTCGCGGGCGCGCGGAGCCCGAGCGTCTCGAACTTCTTGCCGTCGGCGTGCGCGGCGAAGGCGCGCCGCGCGAGCTGCGCGCCGTCGAAGGCGCGCCGCGCGAGCGCGCCGAGCGCCGGGTCCGTCGCGGCCTCGAACGCCGCGAGCACGAGCTCGGGCGAGACCCCCTCGTCGTACTCGTCCGGCTCCAGCGCGTCCTCGCTCGCGACGAGCTCGGGCAGGCCCGCGGCGACGAGCGCCTCCTTCGACGCGTCGTCGGACACGAAGAACGCGAGGCGGCGGCCGAGCACGGCGAGCGCCGACGTGCACGCGCGCCGCGCCGCGAGCGTGACGCCGCGCGCGATCGCGGGCGCGCGCGCGTCGCCCGCGGCGCCCGCGCGGAGCACCTCCTCGACGCGCCACTCGGGCGTGTGGCACTCCTCGGAGCCGACGACGTCGTCGCCGTCGTCGGCGCCCTCGGCGCGCGCGAGGTCCGCGCGCGCGCGGACGCGGCGCGCGTGCACGTCGAGGACCTCGCGGCCGCTGAGCGCGCGGCCGTACAACACCAACTCGTGGACGTCGGCGACGGCCGCGGAGCCGCCGGCGCCGAAGAGCGCGAAGCGCGCGGGCAGGCTCGCGGGCCCGTCGAGCGCGAGGAGCGCCCTCGACCGGTCGTCGTCCGCGGCGCGCACGCGCGTGTGCGCGGAGCCGTTGACGTAGGTCGTCGCGTGCGCCTCGTCGTGCGGGCCCGCGTCGACGACGAGCCAGACCTCGGTCCAGCCCCAGCACGTGTCGCCGTCGGCGAGGTGGACGTGGGTGAAGTCGCCCTTGTCCGTGATCGCGTCCTGGACCTTGGCACCGCGCACCGAGTCCGCCGACGCGAAGACGCCGAGCGCGCCGGCGACGCCCGAGTCGTCGACGGCGAGGAGCGGCGGCGCGTCGTCCGCGCGCGCGCCGGGCGGCGCCGCGCCCAGCAGCGGCCGCGACGTCGCCTTGCCCTTCTCGGACCGCGGGCCCACGCGCACGCGGACGCACGCGGTCCACTGGTTCAGCGAACGGCCGCCGCCGTTGCCCGTCTCCGACTCCTCGACCGCGAGGACGCAATTCTGGAAGATGTCGAGGCCCCGGAGCGTCGCGCTGTCCGCGCACGCCTTCCCGGCGAAGGCGAGGCGCTGCCGCTCGGGCGCGATGCCGACGCCGAGCTCCGAGAGCTTGAGCTTCAGGCCGCGGATCGTCTCGGTCGGGGACGCGGCGACGGCGCGCGCGACGGCGCCGCCGCCGGGGACCGGCTGCTTGACGATAATCTGCGTCAGCGGCTCGAGGATGGACTCCGGCCGAGGCAGGACCTGGATCTCCGTGGCCTTGTCCGCGTCGCCGAGCCCGAGGGCGACGAGCGTCGCGGCGTCGTCCTCCGCGACCGCGCCACAGTCCTCGTACGCTTTGATGGTGCGGCCGAGAGCTTCCGCGACTTTCTCGACCCAGCCCTCGACGTGCTTCTCCGTCTCGCCGATAAGCGCGTCGAGTGCTTCGAACGCCTCGCGTTGCGATTCGGATAACTTCGCCATAAACGTCTCCGAGTCGCCCGGCGCCAAGAGGACCTGGGACGCCGCGGGGACGCCCGTGGCCAGCTCAAGTTTGGCCTTGAGGTCGCCGAGCGTCGCCGTGCGCGCGACGGCGACGACGCACTTGGCGGAGGGCTCGCCGTTCAAAGCGAACTCGAAGCGCGGCGGGCCCGCCGGCTCCGGCGCCGCCGGCTCCGGCGCCGCCGCCGCGAGGCCCCGGAGCGGGTTCGACACGTAGATGGCCGCGTCGACGTGCGCGCGCGTGCCGCAGTACTCCGTGAGCACCTCCCGGGCGCGCGCGGCGTCGGCGGCCCGCTCGTGCTCGAGGTAGTAGCCGAGGCCGTGCGGGCCCGCGCGGTACGCGAAGCCCGCGACGCGGCCCTCGTCGCAGGGCGACGCGATGAAGGAGACGCCGCGCTCCTGGGCCGACTTGGCCGCGTCGCGCGCGTCGCTGACGAGCGAGAGGCGCCCGGCGGGCGCCGCGGACAGCGGCGCGAAGAGGTCCCGGTCGCCGGCGTCGGCGGGCTCGACGCGGACCTCGACGAGGAGCGACGCGGCCTCGTTGGCCTGGCGCGCGCGGAGCAGGCCCGCGACGGCGCCGCCGACGCCGCCGGCGAAGGCGTGCGTCGTCGTCGCCTCGGCCTCCCGGGGCTCCGCGGCCGGCGGCGCCTTCCGGGGCGCGCCGCCGTCGCCGGACTCGTCCATGGCGTTCGCGTCCCTGAACGGGAGGCCGCCGGAGGCCGACCGGGGCCGCGCGCCGGGGATCTCGGCCGTCGCGACGACCTCGCCGGCGACGGCGACCGTCGCCGTCGCCGCGGGCAGGCCGCCGCGCGCGTCGCGGCGCCGGACGACGTGGATCTCGCCGACGACGTGGGCGAGCTCGTCCGCGAGGTCCGAGGGCACGAGCTTCGTGGAGACCTTGAACCGCTGCGCGGCCCGGAGCGCGTCGCCGCGCGCCGCCGCCCGACCGGGGAAGACGACGTCGACGCGCGCGCGCGTCGGCGCGGCGGAGGGCGGCGCGACCTCGAGGTCCGCGACGTTGACGCGCTGGACGCGCGACGCGGCCGCGTCGCCGTCCTGCGCGCGCTCCGGGAGCTTCACGGCGGCCCGCTGGCCGTCGAGGGCGACGACGACGGCCGGCAGGTTCCGCGCCCAGGGCCGGCGCTCCTTCCACACCGCGTCCGCGACGACGACGAGCGCGCCGACGCGGATCTGCCGCGCGAGCTTGGCCACGGCGCCCGCGTCGACGTAGGCCCACTCGCCGTCGCGCGCGGTCACGCGGCCGAAGGTCTCGGAGACGATGACGACCGTGCGGCTCGCGGCGTGCGCGATCTCGACGAGGCGGCCGTCGCTGAAGGAGCCCAGGTGAGTCGCTTGAGTCCCGATGAGCCGCGCGCGCTCGCCGAGGAGGAGGGGGAGGGACGCGGACGACGCCTTGTTCTTCTCGGCGACGGACCGGGGGCCCGCGGCGTCGGCCCGCGCGTCGGGCGCGCCGCCGGCGTCGCCGTCGCGGCGCGCGGCGGGGTCGAAGACGAAGGTCGCGCCGCCGCCGGCCTTGGCGACGGCGTCGACGGCCTTGCCGGCCTTGAACTCGTGGAGCCCGCCCTCGCGCGCCTCGACGACGAACTGCGCGGCCGCGCAGCCGAGGTCGACGACGTCCGTGCGGTCGCGGCCGGGCAGCCAGGCGACCTTGACGACCTTGGCGTTGCCGTAGCAGGTGAGGACGACGCACGAGCCGACGTTGACGCCCGCGCCCTGGCCCGCGTCCGTGACCGTGATCGTCTTGCCCTCGAGGGCCTTGCCGCCGACCTTCTCGAAGCGCGCGACGTCGGCCCGCGTCGCCTTCTCGCTCCGCGGCGTGAACGTCTCGCCGCGCGGCGAGCCCTGGCGCCGCGAGAAGGACTCGACGCGCTCCGCGGCGCGGTCCTCGGCGCCCGCCGTCGACGCCGACGACGCCGCGAGCGACGTCGCGAAGTCGTACTCCTTCGGGTCGGACGGCGCCGCCGCCGACGCGCCCGCGGCCGCGTCCTTGGTCTTCCGGCGCAGCGCCGAGCTGCTGCCGAAGCACTCCTCGACCTGCGTCCAGAGCTGCGCCTCCGAGTTGGCCTGCGCGGCGGCGTCGAGGAGCCGGTCGACGGACGGCACGAGGTAGGTCAGGTCCTCCTCGGGCCCGCAGAGGCCCGGCGTCGCGCGGAGCACCCGCATCACCTCGGAGCGCTGGTCCGCGCGCGACCGCGCGAAGAGGCCCGCGCCGGACGCCGCGAGCTCGATCGCGCCGGCCCGCTCGAGGAACGCCGTCGTGCCCCGGACGCGCGCGCCGCGGACGTGGCGGCCCGTCGCGAAGCTGAACGTCGCCTCGCCGCCGGGCTTGCTCGCGTCGACGGACGGGTTCGACCGGCGCCCGAACCTGGCGTCCTGCTCGTCCTCGGCCCGCTCGACCGCGAGGCGGACGCGCTCCTCCTCCCGCGCGTCGGCGTCGCGCTCCGCGGCCTCGGCGTCGAGGCGCCGCCGCGCGCGCGCGCGCCGCGCGGCGTCGACGGCCGCGTCCGCGGCCGCGTCGGGCGCCGGCGCGAGCGCGGCCAGCGCGGCCTTGTCCGCGAGGGCCGCGTCGTCGCGGTCGTCGTCGCCGTCGTCGTCCGGCGCCTCCTCCGGGTCGCGGAGCGCGTCGACGAGCTCGTAGTAGGACAGGTTCCCGTCGCCGTCGCCGTCGGCGCGGTCGACGAAGTCGAGGACGTCGTCGAGCGACGCCGCGCCGCCGAGGCCGCAGGCCCGCAGGGCCGCGACGACCTCCTTCGGCGACAGGATGCCGTTGCCCGACGCGTCCCAGGCCTCGTGGAACGCGTCGAAGAGGTGGACGCCCGCGCGCTCCAGCGCGCGCCGCAGCCCCGCGGACAGGCACCGGAGGAGCGTCATCGAGCCCGCGTCGCTCAGCTGGAACACGGCCGCGACGGGCTGCTCGCGCCAGGGCCGCGAGAAGCGGCGCCGGCACGCCGCGACCTGCGTGAACCAGCGGCGCCGCGCGCTCGGCGCGTTGCGCCAGCCGAGGGACCGCACGAGGACGTTGAGGTCGCGCTCGCCGTGGTACGCGTTGCTGTCGAAGAAGGAGAGGCACGCGCGGCTCGCGTCGCGCGAGAAGGGCGCCGCCGCCGGCGCGAAGTCCGTGGACGCGTCGAGCACGGTGTCGTCGTTGAGGCTCAGCGCGAGCGCGCAGCGCGACCCGTCGAGGAGCGCGCGGCCCTGGCGCACGTGGAGCACGCGCCGGAGCGTCTCGGCCTCCGCGAGCGACACGGCGACGACGAATCGCCCGTCCTCGTAGGGCTCGAGGCGCCCGGACGTCGCGAGGGCCTCGAAGCCGTCCGCGGCGAGCGCGCCGCCGCCCATGGCCCGCGCCGCGGCCAGGGCGTCGTCCCTCGCGGCGTGGGCCGCGAGGCGCGAGAGCTCGGCGACGTCGTCGTCGGCGACGGCGCCCGCGCCGGCGAGGATCCTCGCCGCGGACGCGTAGCGGCCCGTCGTCCGCGCGCCGCCGTGGAGCGCCGGCGCCAGCGCGCCGACGTCGGGGATCCACTCCGCCGTGACGACGACGTTCTTCAGGCGCCGCTCGCCGATCCAGTCGCGGCGGAAGTAGTTGTCCGAGCTCAGGACGAAGGCGGGGAACTCGAGCGGCCGCCGCGCGAAGAGCCTGAAGTCGCTGAGCGGGTAGAACTGGCGGCAGAGGTCGCGGTGGCGCAGCCGGTCCAGCGGCCAGCTCGACGGCTTCTCGCCGTCGCGGCGGTACGCGCAGTCGACGTACTTCTCGACCTCGACGGCCCGCTCCTGCTCCTGCTCCTGCTGCTTCTCGCGCTCCTCCTCCATCTCCTGGACCATCTCGCGCGCGAGCTCGCACTCCTCGGCCTTGACGGGCATGGACCGGAGCGCGTCGACCCAGCGCGCGCAGCGGTCGCGGTCCTCGGGCGACGCGACGAACTTGGCGTGGTCCTCGACGCTCCGCGCGAGCGTCTCCGCGAGCGGCGCGGGCGGCGCGACGCGGTCCGCGACCGCGAAGTCGAGCGGCTCGAGGTAGACGCCGACGGCCGCGCGCACGTCCGCCGCGAACGTCGGGTTCGACGCGTGCGCGTCGGCCGCGGCCTCGAACGCCGCGTCGTCGCAGGTCCAGAGCAGCGCCCCGTCGGGGCTCCGGAGCGGCAGGAAGAACGTCTTCGACGGGTGGCGGTCGTAGATCTGGACGAAGCCGCGGCCGCCGCCGAAGGGCGCGTCGTGGTCGACGCGGATCGCCGTGACGACGAAGCCCTTGGTCCGCGTGATCGTCGCCTCCGTCGCCGCGTCCGCCGTCGCGCGCCGCGTCGAGCCCGTCACCGACGGCGCCGACAGCGTGAGCCGCTGGCCGCTGCCGGAGGCGAGCGCGGCCCCGAGGAGCGCCGCGAAGGCGTTCTTCCGCGGCACGTTCAGCGCGTTCTGCACGGAGAGCTGGTTGAACTGGAGCCGCTCGCCCTTCATGGACTGGAGCGTGAGCCACGCGACGACGGCGACGCCGACGGGGCTCAGGTCGCCGGCCTCGCCCGGCGCGTCGCCGCCGAGCTGGGGCGGGCAGGGGATCCGCGCGAGCGCGAGGTCCCGCCGCACGAGGTCCCGGAGCTCGGGGATGAGGAGCGTGACGAGCCGCTGGCCCTTGGCGACGCCGCGCATGCGGAACGCGCCCTGCGCGTAGTCGCGGAAGTTCGAGTCCTTGCCCAGCGTCACCGCGGCGACCGCCGTCGCGGAGTGGTGGATGTCCATGCCCGTCGTGTGGATGTTGTCGTAGAAGGCGAAGCGCCGGTGCGGCGGGATGCCCGACGTCTCCAGCGCGACGACGCGCTTCGTCGCGCGCACGAGGATCATCTTCTTGTCCGTCTCCGGGTCGAGGAAGACGACGCCGTCGCACGGCGCGAGCCCGAGGTCCAGGAGCCGCCGCGCGACCTGCTCGTTGCTCACGCCCGTCACCAGCGCGCCGACGTCGATGAGCGCGTTGAGCCGCGGCGCCTCGGACCGCGCGACGTCGCGGAGCAGCGAGTCGACGGTCCAGTCGTCGGCGACGTTGACGTGCGCCGAGACGTCGGCCCGCGTGAGGCACTCGATCATGTAGCCGTCGGAGCCGAGCTCGTAGCCGCAGCGGCCGAGCTCCGCGGGGATGAGGTCCGACGGCGTGCCCGAGAAGCCCACGCGCCGCGGGAACAGGACGTCGCCGCCGATCTCCTGGCCGCTCGCGGAGAGCTTCGTCGACTGGTGGCGCATGTGCTCCGGGAAGACGAAGGACTCGAGGAAGTGGTGCACGCAGTGCGGCGACCGGCGCAGCAGCTTGTAGATCTTGTTCATCTGGCCGCTGTTCGAGCGCCGCAGCAGCCGCAGGGGCACGCACTCCTCGTCGTTGACGAGGCGCTCGACGGCGCGGCGCACGTCGTCGCCCGTCTCGCAGATCATCGACGACGCCGTGTCCGACGTCTTGAGCGCGCCGCCCGCGGCGGAGATCCAGTGCTCGAAGAGCAGGCTCGACTTGCGCCGCCGGAAGGGCCCGAGCTCCTTTTCGAACGACGCCAGCAGCGCGGACACGACGCGCTCGACGGCCGAGTAGGGCATCCCGCTGTAGCGGTAGGCGAGGATCGTGAGGCCGATGATGACGTCCGGGTGCGCGAACTCCGAGGACCGGCTCGGCGTGTCCTTGCCGACGAAGGGGATCGCGAGGACGCGCCGCGACAGGGGCATGCGCGGGTCCTGCGCGAGCGCGCGCTGCAGGTCCGTCGCGTCGAGCACGCCAAAGGACACGCGGTCGATCTTCGACAGGCAGTGCGGCAGGAAGGATTGGATCCAGTCGCGCGCGAGCGTGAGCATCTGCGCGTGCGCCGCGTCGATCGTCGAACGATCGTTGATGCGCCGCGCGACGTCCGCGTTCGGCCCGGCCTCCGACGCGCCCTCGACGAGGAACCGGAGCGTGTCCTCGCGGGTCACGCCGCCGACGTGGCTCTTCATGAGCCAGAAGACGGCCCACTCCGCGAGGATGGGCTTGAGCGTGTCGTGGTAGTAGGACAGGCTCAGGAGCGTGAGGTGGGGCGACCGCTGGAGCGCGCGCCTCCGGAAGCCGTCGTCGATAGCCCGGCGGAGGTCGCCGAGGACCTTGCGCGCGAGGACGGACTCGTCGAAGCCGACGGACGACGCGCCCGTCTCGTAGCTGAAGACGGCGTCGAGCATGTGGATGGCCAGCTGCCAGCGCTCCGGCGAGAAGTCGAGGGGCACCTTGTCGCCGATGGGGAAGTTGAGCTCGCTCTTGAGCGGGTGGAGCACGAGGTCGACCTCGTCGACGATCGCGACGCCGCCCTTGAACAACCCCAACAGCCGCCGGAGCTCCGACGCGTGGGCCTCGACGGCCGCGAGGTCCACGGCGTTCTCGCAGGGCCCGCCCGCGGCCGAGCCCGCGCCCGCGACGCGCCGCGCGTCCGTGAGGAGCTCGCAGCACTCGACGTACTTGAGGTGCGCGGCCTTGACCGTCGACGGCGTCGCGATGACGACGCCGCGCGACTTGCGGCAGTGGTCGAGCTTCGCGATGGTCTCCGCGGTCACCGTCGTGTTGCGGTCGATCTCCAGCGTGTAGACCGGCTTGTGGATGACGGCGTTGAACGTCGCGCGCAGGTTCGCGCGGCTGAACTCGAGCAGCGCGGGCGGCACGACGAGCGCGACGAGCGCGCGCGCGTCGGCGCCGAGCAGCAGGGCCAGGAGGGGCGCGACGACCGTCGTCTTGCCGCCGCCCATGAGCATCTGCTTGACGACGGCGCTGACCCGGGACGCGTCGCCGACGGCGGCCGCGATGTCGCGCACGAGCGCGACCTGCTTCTCGCGCAGGACGATGTTCCAGGCGAACTCCGTGAGCAGGAAGCGCGGGTCGTACGTCCAGCCGTCGCCGTCCGCGTCCGCGAAGTGGCGCCGCGCGGACAGCAGGCCCGCGAGCGCCTCGGACTTGAGGCGGAGCGCGTGGCGCTCGCGCAGGCGGTCCGCGTCGCTCCCGGCGGCGGACCCGGCGCCCCGGAGCAGCGCCCGCAGCTCCCCCGCGGCCGTGAGGCAGCGGTTGTTCGCGCCGACGCGCGACGCGTGCAGCATGAGCGCCGTCGCGAGGTCGAGCACGCGCGTCGCGTCGCCGAGGAACGGGTTGATCCGCCTCACGTCCGCGGCGCCCTCGCTGCTGAGCAGGCACGAGTAGAGGAACTCCTCGTCGACGGTCGCCTCCGCGCCCGCGCGCCGCCGGAGCGCGTGCGCGGCCTGGGCGACGTCGCGCGGCCCGCGGCCCATGGCCTCGTCGCCGTCGCCGTCGCCCGCGTCCAGGCGGTTCGCGGCGAAGCGCGCGAGGCGCCGCGCGCGCGCCATGAAGACGAGGTCCGCGCTCTTGAGCTCCTCGAGGTCCGCGACGAGCTGCCCGACCTCGCGGAGCGCGTGGTCCCGGTGGACGCCGCCGACGGCGTCGTCGCCGCCGCAGATGCCCGCGAGCGCGCGGTCGTCGAGGCACCGCAGCGACGGTACGCGCTCGTCGCGCCGCGCCTCCGCGTTGACGCGCGCGTCGTCGTCGAGGCGCGCGAGCAGGCGCTTCGCGACCGCGGACCGCGCGTGGACGCTGCCCGACGCGTCGAAGGGCAGCGCGCCCGCGGCCGCGACGGCCCGGGTCTCGCGGGCCACGTAGCGCGCGACGTCGACGCCGCCCGCGAGGGGCTCGCCCGCGAAGGGCGCGAGCGCGTCGCGCGACAGGTCGAGCGCCGCCGCGTCCGCGCCGCCGCGGCCGCCCGCCCACGTCGACGCGCGCGCCTCGATCTCGTGGAGCAGGTTCTCCTTCGCGAGGCTCAGGCGCTCGAACTGGGCCTTGGCCGCGACGAGCCGCGCCCGGACGAGGCGCGACCCGTCGTCCGCGGGGAGCCTGTCGGGGTGGCACGCCAGCGACCGCTTCCGGAAGGCCCGGAGCACGGCCTGCGCCGTCGGCGGCGCGCGGATCGTCGCGCGGTCCCCGTCGCCGTCGTCGACGAGGCCGAGCGCGCGCTGGTTCCGCAGGCTCGCCAGCGAGAAGCGCTTCCGGTCGCACCAGGGGAACTTCTCCGCCGTCGGATCCTTCCGCAGGGCCGCGAAGCCGTCCTCGCAGAGCACGGAGCCGTCCGTCGCGTCGAGGAGCAGGAGCGCGGGCGCGCCGCCCGGCTTCCAGAGGCCGAAGAGCCGGTCCGCGGCGGCCTTGTCGCCGTATTTCAGGCAGAGCCAGTCGCCGTGGTCCGCGACGAAGAACTCGGCCATCTCCGCCTCGGACTGGTCGAGGCTCGCGAAGATGATCTCGAAGGAGCCGTCGCCGCCCTCGCGGCGCAGCTTCTCGTGGAGCGTCTTCAGCGCGCCGACGGCCAGGCGGCTCTCGGGATCCCAGGCCGCGCCCGCGAAGACCGCGACGACGGACCCGTCCCGGAACCGCCCCCCGGCCGCCACGGCCTCGAGGTGGTCCGCGGCCGCGGCGTCCAGCGCCTCGTCGTCGAACCAGCGAAAGTCCGTCGGCGTCGCGCCGTCGACGTCCATGCGCCGCGCCTTGCGGAACAGGGGCGCGTCGTCGAGCGCCTTGCGCACGTGCGCCGCGCTCAGGACCTTGCGCCGCTCGAGCAGCGCCGCGTTCGCGGCCTCGCGCCGCTCCGAGGCCTCGAGCTCCGCGGCGATCTTGGCCACGAAGGGCGCGTCGACGGCGCGCAGGCGGGTCGACGGCGACGCCGCGTGGTCCGAGACGTCCGGCCGGGCCCAGCCGACGTCCGGGCCGCAGCGGCAGTGCGGGATGTGCTCGGCGATGGTCGTGAGCGCGCTCTCGTGGCTCGGCGGCTGGCGGTCGTCGTGGCCCGGCCCGTGCTGGCGGTCGCGCGGGATCGACGAGAGCGAGACCTCGTGCTTCGCGTCGCCGACCGTCCAGGTCGGCGGGTCCGGCGCCGCGGCGAGCGTCTCCCTGAGCTTCGGGGGGAGGACCTCGAGGATCTCGTCGAAGAGCGCCGCGACGCTCGGGTCGCGGCCGCTGAAGACGCGCTTCGTCGAGTCGCCGACGGCGCGGCCGCGGCCCTTCGTCTTCGCGCCGCCCGCCGACGGCTTGCGCCACTCCGGGAGGCCGGGGACGAGCTCCGGGTAGGACGCAAGCGTCGCCAGGATCGACGCGACGGGCGACGGCCCGGCGACGTTCTCGAGCGCGAACATCGCGAGGCCCGCCCAGGACCGGCCCGCCGGCGTCGCGGGCGCGCGCGTCGGCCTGCGCCAGCGCCGGTCGTCCCACGCGTCCAGGTCCGCGTCGTAGTCGTCGAAGTCGAGGTCCCAGGACGTCGCGCCGCGCGAGTACGAGGAGCGCGTCGACGTCGCCGCCGCGGTCGACCACGACGCCGAGCCGCCGCCGAAGACGTCCACGGACGCGCCGCCCGCGAGCAGCGAGTACAGGTACAGAAACCCGCGGCCGTGGGTGGACCCCAGGACGTCCTCCGGGCTCCCGTTCGCCTTCGCCTGCAGGAGCGCGAAGAGCTCGTCGACGGCCTGGACGCCGTAGATCGTCGGGTCCGCGTCGCGGCTCGCGAAGAGCTGGACGCCCGCCGCGAACTCGGGCCGCGCCTGGAGCACGGGCCGCGTGTTCGACGCGACGCGCGCGACCCAGTCGCCGCCGTGGACGTACTTGGGCGACAGCGACGCGGCGAACGTCGGCGAAGCGCGCCCGGACGCGAGCGCCGCGAGGTGCTCGCGCCGGTTGCGGATCGCCGTCCGCTCCGCGACGCTGTGCTTCGACGCGTCGACGACGGCGAAGCGCTTCAGCAGGCGCAGCTCCTCCTCGCGCGACAGGCGGCAGGACGCGGAGACGCGCGAGAGCTTCTCGACGAGCTTCGCGCCTGTGTGGAAATCAACCAGTGAGCTGGGACGTCGGGGCCAAACTTGAGAATTCTCTAGCTCGGTCAAATCGAAGTCGATTCGGCTGATTTTTTGATGAATCGATTGCTCTCGTCAAGTTCTCGAAGCAGAGCGAAAAAGTCTGGTCCAAATCGTTCGATTACGCTCACATTGAAGTCGGGTTGAAGATTTGATTTCCACACAGCTTCGCGCACTGCGACGCGACGTCCCAGGGCACCGTCGCGCCCGCGTCCGCGAGCACGATGGTCACGCGCAGGCGGCAGGAGATGGCGTCCGGGTGGTCGTCGTCGTTGCCGGCCGCGAAGGCCGCGAGGATGTTCGCGCACTCCTCCGAGAGCTCGTAGTCGACGCCGACGGCGCGCGCGAGCTGGAAGCAGCGCGCGTAGTCCCGCGAGAGGAAGCGCAGCAGCAGCAGGTAGAGGCTCGCCGCGAGCGTCGGGCAGATGAGATAGCCGAGGGACACGTGCGCGTCGTAGAGGTAGTAGAAGCCGTCCTTGAGCGCGGCGCCCCAGGCCCGCCGGCCGGCGCCGACCGGCGCGTTCGTCCGGTCGACGACGAGCGCCGTCGAGAAGACGCCGAGCGCGGGCCGCGTCACGCGGACCGACGGCAGGAGCACGGTGAGCTCGTCGTTCGCGTTCGCGAGCAGGAGCGAGTGGGGCAGGCCGCGGATCAGCGACTTGGTCATCGCGTTCGACACGTTGGAGATGGCGAGCTGCGCGTGGTCCAGCGAGTACAGCTTCCCGCCGCGCTCCGCGAAGCTCAGCTTGAGGCGCGGGAGCTCGACGACGGAGATCGCGTACGTCGGCTCCGCGTCGGGCTCGTCGCGCGTCGTCGCGGCCGTCCAGGCGAGGATCGACGACAGGTTGTCGACGCGCGAGAGCGTCCGCGCGACGGAGTGGAGCTCGCTGCCCTCCTTGGCCAGCAGCAGGTTCAGCAGGCGGTGCTCCGCGACGTCGCCGCCGGACCCCGCGGGCAGCGCCGCGTCGACGGCCGCGCACAGCGACCCGACGGTCTCGAAGCGCGACTCGGGCGCGAGGGCCCCGACGGCGGCGACGACGTGCTCTGGCGCGTGGCGCTCGACGAGCTTGGCGATGGCCGCGACGGCCATGGCGTACGGCGTCCGCTCGCCGTGGTCCGCGCCCGCCGCGCGGCTCTCGATGGGCGGCAGCTCCACGAGGGCCTTGGACGTCGGCAGCGCGAGGCGCGTGAGCACGTCGCGCGCGGCCGCCGCGCGGCGCCGCGCGAGCGCCAGGGGCACGCGGCGCACCGTCGCGCCGAGCCAGGGCAGCGCGGCCGCGAGGAGCGGCAGCTCGCGCTTCAGCGCGACGCGGACGACGAAGGCCTCGGCCTCGGCGTCGCCGGCGGGGACCCCGCCGTCGCCGCCGTCCTCGTCCGGGCGGCCGGCCCGGGGCCCGTCGCGGCCCGCGGCGGCCCCGCCCGCCGCGGCGTCCCCGCGCGTCGACGGCGGGTAGCCGACGAGGTCGTCGCCCTCGTCCTGCCACCACTCGTAGGCGTCGAGGAGCGCCTCCGGGAGCTGGCCCGCGAGCAGCCGCGTCGGCACGTACGTCTCGCGCGTCAGCGACAGGTTGCCCGCGTGGTCGTGGTCGCGCATGACGGCCACCGACGTCGCCTCGTTCGGGCCGAGGCTCTCGAAGGGGTCGCCCGCGCCGCACGGCGGCGGCAGCTCCGGCTGCATCTCCTTGAGCGTGAAGCGCGTGTCCGTCGTGTGGACGAGCGCGCGGTGGAAGCGCCGCGCGTGGGAGAAGACGTCATAGACGTGGACGACGGCGTGGTCGCGGAAGGCGTAGATCTCCCGCCAGCAGCCGCCCGCCTCCGGCCGGTTCGCCACGAGCCGCGCGACCGTCGCCGACGCGTCGAGGGGGTCCTCGGCCATCCAGAGGTGCACGGGGTCCCGCGGGTCGTTGAAGTAGGCGAGGCGCAGCGGCTCGACGAGCGGGAGGAGCCAGTACTCGTCCTTCTCCAGCGCGTCCGGCGCGTACTCGCGGAGCAGGCCCGGCGGGTGCGGCGCGAGCGGCCGCGCGTCCGGCGTCGTCCAGATCTGGAGCTCGAGCGACGACGACACGAGGCGCAGCCACTCGCGGTTCGTCGCCGAGGACACCGTCGCCGCCTGCACCGCCTGCGTGCCGACGGTCGCGACGACGTCCGGGTGCGCCGCGTGCGCCGCGCTCAGGGCCCTGAGGTGCATGGTCCCGACGGTCAGGAGCCCCGCCTGGAGGTCGAGCATGACGCGGTGCGCGTCGCCCTTGCGGCCGCGGTCGTCGCGGCGGTCCACGTACTCGATGGGCTCGTCGCCGGGCGCGCCGGGCGTCGGCGACAGCGTGAAGCGCGCCGACACGTAGCCGGGCCGGAGGTGCTTCGGCTCGGCGACGGCCGCCCACTTGCGCGGCGCGACGTCGTCGGCGCCGGCGACGAGGCGCTGGCCGCTGCCGGCGGTCACGCGCAGGATCGCCTCGCAGACGTCCGCGCGCTCCTTGCCCGTCGTCGACGTCAGCCGCTCGAGGAGCGGGCGCCGCAGGTCCTGGTACGCGCCGAAGACCTCCGTCTCCGGCACGTCGAGCGCGACGCGGTTCCACGAGTGGCGCGTCTGCAGGTAGGTCATGGCGCAGGCCACGGTCGACGCGACGTCCTCGGTCATGTCGGCCGCGGACGTCGCCGTGCGGAAGACGACGAGGTTGTGCGCCTCGAGGTTCGCGATGAGCCGCGCGTTCGCGTCGACGAGCGTCTTGTCGCCGCCGTCCGCGCACTCGGCCGCGAGCTCCGAGATCCAGGCCTCGACCATGCAGTGCACGGGCCCGCGCAGGAGCCGCCGGAGCTCCTTCGACGCGGCCTCGATGACGGACCGGTGCGCCGCGGGCAGCGCGAAGTCCCGGAGCGGGTTCAGCGGGTCGGCGTCGGCGTCGTAGGCGAGGACGAAGTCGAGGTAGGCGTCGACGCGCGCGCAGGTGCGCGCCAGGTACTGGATGATCGGCACCGTCGTCGCGCGGACCGTGCCCGCGTCGAGGTCGAGCGCGTGCTTGAGCAGCGCGACGACGGCGTCGCACGTCGTCTTCGGCGACCGCTGGAGCTCGTTGAGCAGGTGGCCGTAGGGCGTCGCGAGGAGGAGCGTCTCGTCGTCGCCGCAGGGCGCGGACCGCGGCGCGCGGTCGCCGAGGCCCGCCTCGAGGTAGCGCCCCGGCTCGAAGAGCACGGCGTCCAAGATGCCCTGGCACGCCGCCGTCCGCAGCGCGTGGACGCGGTCCTCCGTCGAGAAGAACCGGAGCACGAGCGGCAGCCGGATGTAGGGCACGGTGAGGTAGCTGAGCAGCAGCTCGCTGTCGTGCTGGCCCAGCGCGTCGCCGAAGCTCGGCAGCTGCTTGACGTGGAGGACGTCGTCCTCCGTCGCGACGGCGTGCGGCGCGCAGTAGGGCCCCGGCGCCGCGTTCGACGGGAAGCGCGCCGCGCTCGACGACGCGCAGGCCAGCGACTTGGAGAACGCGGCGACGACGAAGCGGTGCTGCGCCTCGTCGTAGGACCACGAGAGGTGGGCCATGCGCTGCGTGTAGGCGTCGTCCGACGCGGGCGCGGCCGGGAACGCGGCCGCGCTCGTGTTCATGAAGTACTTGAAGTAGAAGGCGACGTCGCGGTAGCAGGCCCACTCGGGGCAGTTCTTCGCGAGCAGCAGGTTCGGCGCCGTCGCGTAGTAGGGCAGGATCGACGGCGACGGGTTCCACGCGAGCTCGTCGCAGAGGGACCGGAGCATGCCGTCGAGGTTCGCCGCGGCGCGCGACTGGCCCATGTCCCAGCACATGGTCTTCTCGAGGCCCGCCTGGGCCGCGAAGTAGTCGAGCACGCTCGTCCGCGCGACGCTCAGGTGCGGGTCGCGCGCCTCGATCGTCGCCGACTGGAGCGCGAGCGGGCCCGCGGAGATGCCGAAGCCGAGCGACCGGCCCGCGGCGCCGGACAGCGTCAGGCTCAGGTAGCTCGGCTCGTCGAGGGCCGCGCGGCGCGCGAGCGCGTCGGCGACGGCCGCGGCGACGGCCGGGACGACGGTCCGCGACCCGTCGGCCGCGCGCGTCGAATTGATGGAGAACGCGGCCGCGGCGAAGTGCTCCACGAGGCGCTGGAGCAGGATCAGCCCGTCGAGCTGCTGGCCGTAGAGGATGTCCTCGTCGGCCCAGAGGCAGGGCCGCGCCCGGTCCGCGAGGGCGCCGCGCGGCCGCGGCACGGGCAGCACCCGCGTGAAGACGTGCGTGAGGAGCGCGTGCTTCAGGAAGCCCGAGCGCTTGACCCGGTCGGATTGGACGGAGGTCAGCGTGCAGACGCGGTCCGCCCAGCGCATGGCGTCGAGCGCCTCGTCGAGCGTCGACGCGCGCGCGCGCACGGCGAGGAAGTCGACGGGCACGTAGCGCGGCGACGACATGGCCGCGCCCGCGAACTTGTCGACGGAGCCGCGCCGCAGGAGCCGGTCGAGCCCGTGGTAGGGCGCCACCTGCCTCCGCGCCCGGTGGCTCGCGTCGAGGAGCAGGGGCTCGGGCCCGGCGTCCTCGCGGCCGGACCGCGGCAGGCTGCGCACCTTGTCGTCGAGGCGCCGCACCGCGGACCGCACGGCCTCGAGCTCGTCGGGCCCCATGCTGCCCGACCTGTCCGGCCGCGTCGCGAGCTTCGCCGCCGAGTGCGCGACGCCCGCGCCGTGGTTGTCCAGGAGCTTGACGTCCGCGTCCTCGATGGACTCGAGGAACGAGAGGTCGTGCTCCGCGAAGGCCAGGAGCTGCATCTTGAGCGCGAGCATGAGCTGCTTGCTGTCCGCGGGGCCGAGGCCGCTCCGCCGCGCGACGAAGGCCAGCGAGTGGAGCACCGTGCGGTAGTCGTGGGCCCCGGACCGCTGGGGCGTCCGGAAGTCGTCGACCGTCGCGCCCGCCGGCGGGCCCCGGCCGAAGGGGCGGCCCGCGAGCCAGGGCAGGAGCCAGTCGTAGAGCGCGCCGAGCGCGACGCCCCGGCGCTTCTTCTCCTCGTCCGGGTCGGGCTTCTTGCCCGTCTTGTCCTTGTAGACCTCCGACGACGGCTGCGGCACGCGCGACGCGCTCAGCGCCGCGGCCCAGAAGACGGGGCACGTCGCGCGCGCGGCCGGCACGCCCCCGAAGGACTTGGCCGTGCGGAAGCGCTCCTTGCAGGCCGTCGCCGTCGCGCAGAGCGTCGACTCGTGGAAGCCCAGGAGGTGCGCGTGCGCGCAGACGACGGCGACGGTGTACGTCGCCTCGGCCTCCGGCGGCGCCTCCGCGGGCGGCGCGCCCGGCGCCGCGGCCGCCGCGGCCGCGGGCGGCGCCTCGCGCTCGAAGACGAGGACGTGGTGGCGGCCGTCGGACATGGGCAGGCGCAGGGGCACGAGGACGGACGCGCCGATGGGCAGCGCGGCGAGCGTGCGGACGAGGGGCTTGACCGCGCGGCTCAGCGTCGCCAGGTTGCGGCCGTCGGCGACGATGGAGCACCGCTTCGCGATCTCGAGGCTCTCCGCGAGCGTCGCCGCGAGCCGACCGAGCGCGTCGCGGCCCGCGGCGCCGAGCGCGTCGACGAGGGCCCGCGGCGTCGCGCGCGCCGCGGCGTCGCCCGCGGCCGCGTCGCGCGCCGCGTCCGCGGCCGCGCCGCCCGCGAGCGCCGCCGCGGCGAGGCGCAGCACGCCGAGCGCCGCGACGAGCGACGGCCCGCCCTGGGCGACGCCCGCGAGCGTCACGTCCCCAAAGGCCGCGAGGAGCGCGGGGTGGCGCCACGCCGGCGGCGGCCGCAGCAGGAGCGGCGCCAGGGACCGCTTCGAGAGCGCCGCGGCCTCCGCGGCGTCGTCGGCCTTGTCGAGGTACGAGAAGATGCGCGCGTCGCGGAGGATCGCGCCGACGGCCTCGCGGGAGAGCGCGCCCCGGTGGAGCGCGACGCGGCGCACGGCGACGGCCTGGGGCAGGCAGAGCGCGTCGTCGTCGGAGCAGAAGAGCGAGAAGCCGGAGAGCGCGAGCTCCGCGTCGCTCAGGCCCCGCGACGACGTCGCGCTCCGGTACCAGGGCACGTCCTCGACGGACGAGAACCAGGCCGCGCGCGCCTGCGCCTGCCGCGCGCCGTCGTCCTCGTCGTCGGTCCACTCGTCGTCGTCGTAGAGGCCGACCTGGTCGAGGACGCGGACGGCCTCGCGCGCGCCCGGGTCCGCCGCGGGGGCCTCGCGGCGCCAGTCCTCGCGGCGCGAGCCCGTCGCGAGGCCCCGGAGCCGGTCCTTCTTGGCCTTGCCGCGCTTCTGCTTCTTGGCCAGGGGCACGTTGTCCTTGTCCGTGCGCGCGCCGTCGCGGTTCCAGTAGCCCTCGAAGCTCGGCGCGCCGTTGACGTAGACCTTGACCTTGCGCCCCTTCTCCCACTGCGCCTCGACGGCGATGACGACGCGGTTCCAGCGCCGCGCGCGGAGCGTCGCGGCGCGCGACGCGTCGACGGCCGCGTCGCCGCGCCACGCGACGCGCCCGCCGGAGGCGCCGGGCGCGGCCGGCGGCAGGAAGTGGCACGCGCCGCCGCCCTGGCGCGCCTGGGGCTGGAGCGCCGCGAAGGCCGCCTCGAGGGGCTTCTCGAACTTGACGTCGACGACGACGGTGTAGTCGTTGAGGCCCCGGACCCAGCCGTTGTTCGTCGGCACGTCCGTCGGCGCGAGCTCGAGCCAGTGCTTCGGCGGCAGCACGAGGCACGACGACCGGTCCTTCTGCATGCGGAGCAGCGGCGCGGCGTCGACGGCGACGGGCTCGGGCTCGTCGTCGTCGTCCCCGTCGGCCATGGCGTCGGCCCGGGCGGGCCTCGTGACGACGCGCAGCGTCTCCGGCACGGCGCCCCGCCGCAGGTCCCAGACCTGGAGCGCGTCCGGCGCGGCGCCGGTCGCGGCGGCGTCGTAGTCGGCCTTGCCCGGGCCGCGCTTCGACGCGGGCTTCTTGTGCCTGTCGCGCTCCGCGTGGCGCGCGCCGTCGGCGGCGTTCGCCGCCGTGCCGAAGGCGAGCTCGTCGTCGTCGAGGCGCTGCTGCCCGAACCAGGGGTCCACGTCGCCGAAGGCGCGGTCGCGGTTCTTCGCGCGGCGCTCGAGCGCCGTCGGCGACACGTTGTCGCGCGCGACCCAGACGACGTGGTCCTCGAGCCGGGGGTCGTGGGAGACGACGGCGTGCGGGTCCGTGACGCCCTCGTCGGGCAGGTGGACGACGGTGAAGTTCGCGCCGTCGAACTGGACGCCCAGGAGCTCCGGCGCGACGCGGCTCCGCCAGCCCGCCTTGCCGCCCGCGTCGAGCGTGTCGCAGTCGAAGACGTGGCTGAAGGCGCCGCCGCCGCGCTCGCCGAGCAGCGCCTTGGCCAGCGCGGTCCAGCGCGCGACGTCCATGGGCTCCTCGTCGCAGAGCACGCCGTCCTCGCGCTCGACGCGCCGCTCCTGGTCCGTCTTGTAGGTCCACTCCTTCGCGTCGACGACGCTGTCGCCGTCGTCGTCCTCCGTCGCGCGCCGCTTCGTCGACGCCGTCTTCGCCTTCGGCGCCGCGGCCGCGGGCTCCGGGGCCTCGGCGGGCTTCTCGCCGTCGCCGTCGTCCTTGTCGCCGTCGTCGTCGTCGTCGCCGTCGTCGTCGCCGTCGCCGTCAGGCATCACCGTCTCGCGCGCGCCCGCGGGCGCCTTCTTCGGCTTCGCCGCCGCGCCGAAGGCCGCCGCGGCGCCGACCGTCGCCAGGACCTCGGCGGCCGCGGACTTCTTCGGCGTCGCCCGGGGCGCCGCGGGCTTGCCGCCGGCCGGCGCGCGCCGCGCCGCCGCGCCGTCGGACTCGACGAGGAAGGCGAGCGCCTCGCCGTGGGGCAGCGGCGCGAGCGCGGCGCGGGGCACGTAGGTCTTGTGGGTCGCGCCGACCCAGACGGCGGCGACGTCGTCGCAGCCCGCGACGCGGTCCTCGGCGACGACGACGGGGTAGCGCGCGTTCGACGACCCGTCCTCGAGGCGGGGCCAGGCCGCGTCGCAGACGTCGACGCATGCGACGGACCAGGACGACTCGAGCTCGAAGCCGCCGCCGGCGTCGCCCTTGTCCGCCGAGAACGCGTGCCACGCGGCCGCGCCGACGAAGCGGTCGCCGAGCGAGTAGGCGAAGACGACCGTCGAGCCCGGCGCGGGGCCGAGGCACCAGCGCTTCTTCGCGGCGTCGAAGTAGACGCAGCACCGCTCGCCGTTCGCCTCCGAGGGCGCGTCGAAGCCCTTGAGCGGGCCGGGCGCCTTCTTGCGGACCTGGCGCGCGAGGCGGTACGTCGGCGCGCCGCCCGGCGCGGCGGCGCAGCGCACGTAGTCGCCCATGAGCTCGGGCCGGCAGCGCGAGCCGGCGACGCGGACGACGGCGCCCTCGAGGCGGCGCCGCGACACGGCGCAGACGTCGCCGCGGCGCAGCGCGCGCGCGCGCCGCTCGGCGCCGCCGTCGTCGGCGACGTCCTTCGTCGCCGCGTCGTCGCCGGCGCGCGCGCGCTTCGCGCGCGCGGGCGCCCTCGCGGGCGCCTTCTTGGCCTTCTTGCCCGCGGGCGGCGCGGCGGCGGCGGCGTCGTCGGGCGCCGCGCTCCGCGCGGCGTGCTTCTCGGGGAAGATGGCCGCGCGCTTCGACGCCGTGCCGCAGACCGTGACGCCGCGGAGCGCGCAGCGGGAGTAGCACGTGAGCCAGTTGCCCGCGTCCGGGCCGTCGCTCCGGCCGCGGCGCCGCGCGCCGCCCGGGCGCTCGCCGTCGTCGTCGCCGGCGTCGCCGCGGAGCGCGTTGCGGAAGGCCGACGTGAACGCGGCCGCGGCGACGCGCGCGGCGCGCGCCGCGGGCTGGATGGCCTCGCGGCGGCGCCAGCGCCGGTAGCGGTAGAGCAGGTGGTCGACCTCGTCGACGACGGCGCCGAACCAGGCGGCCTGCGCGGGGGGGTCGGCGTGGGGCGACGCGCCGCGCGCGCGCGCGCGCGCGCGCGGGGCGCTGGCGGACGCGCCATGTCGCGCGCCTCCGCGGCGTCCTCGTCCTCCGGGCGCGCTTCCGCGGCGGCGCCGACGGCGACGACCTCGCCGCCGAGCCGGGGCGCGCGGTCGGCGCGGTTCGTCTCGCGCCAGACGCCGTCGATGCGCTGGAGGCCGAGGGCGCGCAGGCACTTGCGGCCGTTCTTGCGCCGCGTGAGCGTCATAGCGACGCACGCATGGTCGTCCCTGAGTCGGAAGTCCGCTGGCGCGCGGCCGCTCGCCAAGCGCTTCTCGTAGAGCACGACGGCGACGGCCCGCAGCGTCTCGAGGGCGCTGTGCTCTAGGTCGTAGGCGGCGCGCCGGAGCGCCGCCAGGTTCTGCTGCTCGCCGGACTCGGAGACAAAAGGCGCGTCGCCGCCGAGGATCAGGGCCATGGCGGCGGCGGTGGTCGACGGGGCCGGGCGTGGCCAAGGCACGACCGACGCGGCGGAGAGCGCGAACCTCGCGCGCGAGCTGTCTGAACCTCGCTGGGTCTTTTTTCTTCACTGCTGATGCTGAAGTAGGCCTTGAAGTTCAAGTTAACGAGGCGCGCGCCATCCTTACGCGGGCGCGCGC